ACATATTCGTACCACATATGGTATATTCCAAATATGGATACAGATAAATCAAATTAGCTTATTGATAGAATTTATAAATATAAAACATATTATATGTATATATAAAAAATCGAAATAAAGGACAAACCATTAAATGACATTCAAACAACAATGATCAAAATCAAACAAGACATTCACACATTAAAAATTCCTCGATAGAGTAAAAAGCTTTCTCCAGTAAAAACTGTTTGACTGTTCTTTTAAAAGTGTTCAGTGGTTGTGATTTCAAATTGTTGGGGAGTATGTTGAAAAACTTAATAGCCATGTATCTAGGGCTCTCCTCCGTTCTCGCCAATCTATGCGACGGCACCTCCAATACTTGACTGTTCCTTGTAAAGTAAGCACCAGTGCTTACAGAATTGAACTTGCTCAATTGTGTTTTAGCAAGGATAAGTATATTGAGTATATATAGAGATGGTAAGGTTAAAATCTTAAATGTTCTAAATGAATCCTTGCAGCTAGTGAGCCTTCCAATTTTAGCTAATACTCGAACAGCCTTTTTTGCAACACAAAAAGTCTTTGCAGCTGGGAGGATGCTTCCCAAGCTTCTATTCCATAAATTACGACTGAATGGATATGTGCATGGTAAAATATCAGTAATATCCACTTTTCCACAACAAAACTTAACTGGTACAGACAGTAACAGAGTGGGGCGATCTTTTGGCTACTTTTCTCAATATGCGTATCCCTTCTACAATTTTGAGATATATATAACCCTAAAAATTTAGTCGCATCCACTTGTTTTATTGATTTGCCAAACGATTTTATTAATAAAGTGTGATCCATCGGTGAGGTGGAAAGGTTAAATCTAAGGAAAACAGATTTCTGATTATTTAAGACGAGCCCATTATTGCTGAACCACTTACCTGCACGAGTCAAGCTTGAATTGGCAAGTCCTACAACAGATTCTAGGTTTTTACCATTGACAAGTAAAGAAGTGTCATCAGCATACATTACCGAACAATCGGAGGGAAAGTCATTGACGTACATTATGTATAAGAGAGGACCAAGTATGGAACCCTGTGGAACACCAGTATGGTAGAAATGTTGGCTGGACTGTGCATTTTGTACCTCGACATGATGCTTTCTATCCGACAGATAGCTATGGAACCAGTCAAATGGCTTCCCTCTGATTCGATATCTATCCATTTTATCTACCAGAATACCATGGTCAACCAAGTCAAAAGCTTTGCTTAAATCAAGAAATATACCTATGCATTTTTCTCCTTTATCCATCTTGAGATATAAATCATCTAGGAAACGAAGTACGGCATTTTTGGTTGACATGCCTTTTCTAAATCCAAACTAAACATAGCGAATCACGTACATATATCGTCATAGTCATAGTTAACTGATATGTACGAATAGTATTTGTGGCAATAGGCAGTGACGGCTTATGAGTATCCAGCAGATTTGCTATTTCATAAAACTCGGAATATACACGATGCTAAAGAATTGTAGCTTAAGTGCATATTCAACACGCAAAAATATGAAAAACGCTTGTATACAGAATGATTTATGGCATAAACAGGATCAAATAAAAATACGAAAAGTTACTCAAGAGCATAGTCATTCTGCTTGAAAAGTCATTTTTTGCAGTTTTTCAATACGATTGTTGAAAGGAAGTGTGACTGTGCTATAAATTGAGACCCATCTAACATTTTGTACAAAAGTTGTGGGATCGAATATAAAGTTTTACCTGAAATCATTTTTTTCTATACAGGGATCTCAGAAAAGTGATACTGAACAAAGTTGTATGTTTTTTAAATGAAATACCTTATATTTTTAGTAAAAATTATGGTCGCTTTTTTTTCTGGTCCTAAATATATATCATATATATATACTTATTTCCATTATTTTGGTCATAAATTTAAATTATGTGTATCATTAATCAATGTGTATCTGAATTCAAACAAGTTTGCATATGCTATCACTAAATGACACGTATAATTTAAGTTTTTGCCTTAAGTAATGGAAATAAGCTTAATAAACCATATTAATCAATATCAAAAAGAGCAACTATCCTTTTGACTAATAATATATGGTTCATGCAAAAACCTAAGAGGCGGGTCAATTTATAGCGGGAAACCCCGCACAGAATTTTGTTCACTACTAGGAAATAATGTCACATTTAATTCGATTCGAGTTTAAGATATAGCATATCTAATAATTTTCTTAACGCCCGGCAGCTGAAAATCCGATGCAATGTCTGTATCGCAGAACGGTACATCACCATAAACAGAATCCTAAGTACCGGAGCACCCGCCACTCCTTTATAATAATATCGACACCCTAGGAACAAAGTAACGGTCGTACCCGCCAGCTTTGACAACACGAAGTTCGACACAGTTAGGATGAGAGGTCGCAGTCTGATGGTTCTGGCGGGCTCATCGCGCTGAGGAGCAAAGCTCGTTGACATAGCGGTAGAGGAGACACAGATCGCTGACGGCTCGTCGGAGGAAAAGTCCCGAGACCGGCCTTTAGTGACGTGTCATTGGGCAGTCGGGGCGGTAGCACTTCAAACATGTGAGCAGTAGTCCAGGCCTGGTCTTATGTGAGCATTGTACAAAGTGAGGAGGTAGGTTTAATAGTAGTAAACGATAATTACTAGAAATATTTAAAAATACTGTAGGTCAAGGACTAGTAGCTGTGATAATTATGTGTCAAACATGTCAATGAATTCTGCACACTCACTATTTACCTAGATTTTTTTATTGTTATTATTTATCTAGGGGGTGCAATATTGCTTCTATTTAGAGCGTTGCAGTAAATAATGGCGGCTTCTCCGGTAAGTAGTGGAAAATGTTTTATTCTGAAACTCTGAACGAAAGCTTATAAGAGGCACTATTTGAGTAGAATGTCTTTGATGTAAGTGATTTAGGAAACACACAATTTGGTGTACTTCATGACACATTTACGTGTAACATTATCAATCTGTTCTCGTGAAATTCGTGGTAAACTAGCATAAATGGGCAAGCTTTATCTTTTATCTAATATCAAATGAAGTTAAACATGAAGGTGGACTCTGCGATTTTTCTGACAACAGTCTGTAACACTTTGCATATGAGGTTAATTTCAAAATACCGTGCGCCATCACAAGAACATATATGCGCTTACTAAAAAATTACGAACTATACTTAGTGTTATATTTTTGTACATAAAAGTAGTTTTGACTGAAGAATAGTTAGTTCTCAAAGGAACTTAGCCATCATCGGTTCGGTCCAGGATAGACCCACTGAGAAAAAGTTAGTTACGAACATGTATGAGTATAACAGAGGAATTAGACGAATTAAGTTATTCAAACACACCCAAACAATTAGTTCATAAGCATTATTTCCCTGATCTTACTGGTAGTCCATCTGGCAACGTCACTTTCATCGATACTTGGTGCAACGCGTAAGACGCGGCAGCCGGACAGTAAGACCAGAACACTTACCAAGACTAAATAGAGATAACCCTCCCCCATCCTTCTACAACCCTCCACTTCCATTTTTTAACACCTAATTTTTTTGTAAAATAATCAGGATCGTATGAAATGTCAAAAACAAAAGGATTTTGAGCGATTCTTAAGTTTCTTTGTTTTCGGACTTCTCCGCCGCCACTGGACCGACTTTCAAAAACTACAAAACTCTTTTGTCTTCGGCATAGTAGTGTCCTTGTGTGAAAGTTTTATCAAAATCCGACTGGTACATCCAAGTCATATATTGGCATTGCCCAAGGGTTAGCGGACAGACCGACGGAAATGAGTGACAAGGCTTTTCGTTGTGTACATGTCATATAACATCCAATAATCAAACATAATATAATATCTCGTTGTTTTCGGAGTATTTTGCGACCACAATACTTATTCGCCAGTAGGCGTGGCAAGTAATACCTAATGGGAATTTCCCACATTTTACTATCTGGGAGTCTACTACATCTCCTGCCAATATTTGACGGATCCCCTGCATAAGTAAGGCAAATATAGTATTTCTTTTTTAACGCGTTCTTAAAATATAAAACAAATATTTTATTCCGTAATATTTTTTATGATATAATAACACTTGTAAAGAGATCAAAATATTATATCCGATATGTTTTTTTGTCATTGATAAATACCAAGGAGAGTCATGGGTAGAAGATATACAGGTATTCTAGCTGCTGATCAAAATTAACGAATCTAATTTTTAAAAATGCTCAAGTATTCACAATCCCTGTGTAATTTCAGACTTTACGCTTGAATTGGGTATTCTTTGTAAATAATAATTTCCTATCAATTCAATAGGTATGTCATTAGTAGCGAAATGAGACGAAGTTTGTCGATCTAAAAGTGTAAATATCCACTACAGATCATAGCAAATTGATAAAAGCAGTCAAAGTCTCGATAGCTCGACAGCACTGTCTCATCACTAGGTATTGTCAAATTTAGTGCAGCGGATAAACCCTAGGCTATGAACATCACACACACATCGAGATATCACAGTGGATATGTAAGGCATCACGACTTAACACATCTCCGGCTTTGAGAGATTTCTTTTCGCAAGCGGTTGCGGTTGTTGTTCAAATAAAAATGACAGGATTTTTACTGAGGTCGAGAATGATTCTGACCAAATATTTTCAACCCACTTCAAATTCATAAGAGATGTGGCAGACCAGAATCGGTCTTAACCGTGACGTCATTGCTGTGATACGAATACAATTGGTTATAAATTGCTTGACCTTGAATTCGCACCACCGTCAAAACAATTTGATGTACCCCAAAACGTCAAAGGGCCCGCCACTGTCTTCCACCAAATCAAATCCATTTTTAGGCCACTAGTCTATCGTCTTCAAAGCATTGATAATTGTCCCGCAACACCTCTCTGGATACCTTCTAATTATCACTTACAATTACACACATCGGGCCTATTTCCATAAAATTCACAGAAAACACAATGGCAAGTTACAATATAAAGAAATAATCAATAGGCCAATTGCCCGTTGTAACTTGTAATTATTTTTCTATAAAAGTGGTAATTGTGTCTTGCTTTCTGCCTTGTATCCAAGAAGATGTCCTCGAAGGATGACGATGACAGCTGCTTCTTCAGAACCATCACTTTGTGCAATAAGGTATATATATAACTTTAGAACTAGCAAAAATTTATCTTTTTTAATGATTGATTTCGAAATTTCCACGCGGCAGCTGGAGTGTATTTTCATACCGAACATGCCTCACTGCGACATACAAATAGATTCCAATTTTCGAAAAACATGAGAAATGTTTCTCCTAAGGTTCTTCAGATACTATTACTACAAGGCTTAATCAAAAACGTTGCTCTCTTTACAGTATTTTGACAGAAAATTGGGTCTAAAACCAATTCATAGAATTTTATCAGTATAATATGACTAACTTCGGAACCATTTATTATTCAATGAAAAAATTGCATTTATCTCTCATTTATCATATATAAAAAGGGTTATACCGCAATAAATAGCATATAAAGAGTTTACACTAGTAGTTTACAGTAATGATATTTTGGAGAAAGAAAGCAAGATAAAGTGCTTGCCCCTATTTGGCTCCGGTACGTTTTTAGCTAACAATTCCCTGACTCCTGAGAATCAAAATTAACAAATTTGCACCTGAAAATATTTGCAAACTTTCTAGTAAGCAGTGAACAAAGAATATTGGAATTATGCAATTCAAGAAGATGCTCCCGAGAGAGCATCAACGATGCTGTGATGAGTATGTTACTAGTATTCATTCAATCATCAGTTAAGTAAAACAGCAACCGAAAAAAGCATTTGTCTTGTCATGGCGATGCCAAAACGTAATTAAAATAAGTGATTAGTTGAATTGTGTAAGATTCACTTACTAAGGAGAAGACGATATACAAACCAACAAAAACAATTGGCGAATCTCTAATACCAGCTAACGATAAAAGGGATTATTTGTCAAGCTCAAAAATTTACTGTATACCATACAAATGTGTATTATAACAGGTGTTTCAAATTCGACCATCACCATGGGAAACTCGGAAACGGTAATAGATGAAGTCGCTTATACGGTGACAAAATCATATTTAGGTAACTACCAAAATGCTGCTTAGCAAGTTTTGAAATTCAAAGTACTGCCAGAGAGAGACGGATAAACCGAATTTTCCCAAAATCGTTTTAACCTTGTTCTGATTTTATTTATAGTGGGTGTGGGATTCCAAAATAAATTACACATTAACATTGCCGCTTTTTCTTCTCTACACTATGACGTTTCGACTCTGGTCCTCGAGCATCAACTTTATTTCCTCTGAAGGACGCCATACTGGATGTTTGCACAGGTGAATAGAATTTCTAACCCATATTCCAATCATGTACAGTATGTCATATATTGACATTACCTTAGTAATTAAAAAAATCGAAATTTCACTAGGTAAGCCTTGAAATATCAGATAGTTATTTCTTCCGTATTCCAGACTTACCTCAAAATCATTTTTTATTTTAACTGACGTTACTCGAGATGGGATTTCTAAGTAAATTACATGTTATCATTGTTACTTTTTCTCCTCTGCAAGATGGCGTAATCAGGTTTACAATTCCAGTTTTCTTCTGTCGACTTCCATCACAAACTTTATTTTTCATATGGACGCCATATTGAATTATTTTCTATTTAAATGGACTTTTCAATCTTAAGTAATTAATATAATAATAATAATACTAATACCAATGACAATAATAATAATAATAATAATAAGAAGAAGAAGAATAAGCACATCGATAAATCACAACTGTACCGACATAATATTAATACATAATATAATTACTAGTAATCGACAGAAGTAGGGAGATTGCTTATATCATAGATATTGCGGTACCAGTTGAACAAGTATGAACAGTCCAACAACTATACAAATTGAAGCAAGCATTTATACTGCCCTTTATTGTTTCTGCCAATGGCCTCATCCACAAAAACTTCCACACAAACCTCAAGGTCTTGAAGCTTGACCTTAACTGTTTACGGGAATGCCAGAAGGCAGCAATCCTTGATACCTGTAGTTAGTCAGGATGTTCTTCAACTAACTTTGCCTTTGGCTGACCTCGGGATTAATTTGTCTGCTGTCAGTCAAGAGTACCAGAATACCTGTGTTACCTTAAGGTATTTTTCAACTCAGCCATAAAATAAAATTACAAGCATGAATAAGAATAGAGTCGTAAAATAATAAATACATGTGATTTGTGACAATTGTTTAATAATGTGTAAGTCTATATAAGTATACATGTTTAAATTTAGTCATTGAATATAAAATCATAATGCCCATGAGAAATGACTCGAAAAATCATACAGTCAGTCTTATTCTAGCTGAGTTTTTGAAAATTGACTAATTATTATCAGGTAGAGCATGTTTTCTTAGTTGGCCATGAATTTGTTGTTGGAACGAAAATTCTAAGGAAAGGTACGGCGAAACTGGAACATGAAATGAAAATTTTATTGATAGTAATAACAATAATAATCATAATTTAGCAGAGGTAAATCATATAAGATGTTCAACACCTTGTCCGTTATTTTGTAGGCAAGGTCTGACTCTTCTGTGTACAATGTTAACTGCTCGATTTATTTCGTTTCTTCTCAGACTTCCAAACTCTGATACTATATTTAATTTGAGGTCTGGTCTGGTATATGAAGCAAATGACTATCTGATAATTCCAACGCCTACCAACGAAATTTTGTTTTTCCGAAATAACTAAGGTTAAGTAATGTTAAAGATGTATAAAAATCCAATATCGTCTATATCGTCTATAAGAAAAAATAAAGTTGATGCTGGAGAACAAGATTGAAATTCTAATTATGCCATCTTATAAAGGAGAAAAATTCCACTACAAATGAAGTCAGGGATGATTTTGGGAGAATTCGATGTTTTCATCTCTATTCAGAAGTACTTTGAATTTCAAAAGTTTATAAGCCGCACTTTGTTAGTTATCTAACTATACAACTAATCTCCAACTTAGGCAGTGGCGACGCGTGACTTTTTCTAAACTGTTACCAAAACCAGATATGAAAAATCTTATTAAAAAAGTTTATTTTGAACCTCCCAAATATAAGTTTATGCTTATTTCAGGTATTTTATTTAAACCATTTTTAAATTAAGGTAAACATTCCTGGGCTGAGGGTCTGGGGCACTTGATATACCTCATCGTCGTATGCTATAACTAATCCAAGCCGTCCGAAAAAACAGTCGACCTTTCTAGATGTTCGGAAAAATTTTGATTTTTTCTGGCAATGAATGTTAACAATTCCCTGTAATTTTCTCTATTGTCAGAGTCATCCCCTTCAACATGAACGGTAATTCCTGTTTTTCCAAAAACATACGGTATCTAGAAGTGTGTTGCCTAAAAGCTTGATTAAGACTTTCGATTCTTGTTTTGCCAAACTGAATTAAATTGGCTACACATCTCACATGTAACGGAGAAATTTCATGTCTCCTCCCCTAAAACTATTTCAATCGTTGACTCCGCTGCTGGTCCATCCATTTTTTTCTGTATAAAACAGAATACATCACCAACAATACAATTTGTTTTATTGCAACCACATAGCCAAGAGTTTGCATATACCAACTTGATTTAAAATACCAAACTAAATTTTTTTATTCCTTTTTAAAATTATCTAAAATAGGTGTTGGTCTTCCATTTTCACTGATCTCCTTTTTTCTTAAAAACTATACAAGGAGAATGACTTTTCAAGTAGTTGATCCATGATGCAGCGACACTCATCCATGTTTAATTGCAAGCACACTACAGGCGGTAACAACGAGTGAGAAGTGATTAACCAAATCAAAAAATGGTAACAAGCCCACAGACTCTTAATAGTCGCAGCGCCCCACGCACTCGGGCGACCGCTATAAGACACGAGCCGGTACCGACGGTCCCCGACGGACTACCAAGTGTATCCATAAATGCAAATGGTAACAACCGACAACCAGGTCGAGGCGAGTCAGCTTCATCGTATTCGCAAAACCTAGACACTATAGGGCGTATTATTTTCGTGGGGCTAATTTGCTATGTACTGAATTACTATTAAATATTGCTGTTGGTAAACAAATAAATGAACTAATTCCACAGTACTTAGTAAAATATCTATTTTTAAGATTGACTGCACTTAGGTAAGTGACTTCGTATCTCTTACCGTTTCCGAGATCTCAGTGGTGAGGGTCGAATTCGAAACACACGGTATAGTAACAAGTAAAAGATCAATAAATACCAGAATCAATAAGACCAACTGTTGCCTGAAACATACTGATAAATCTGCCGCGGCAGAACACACTTTCACAAAAACAAATCACCTAATTAAATTCAAAAAAACACAGGTCTTGGCTACTACATCTTTTTTTTTCATACCAGACTGGACCGAGAAGACATTAAAATCCAAAAACATGCGGACAACTTCAGCCAATCAGAGGAAGCGAATAAAGTACACAAAAATTAGTTGCCTATAATCAAAAATATGAGAACAATGTAATTTAAATAACGAGAACTCATTGACGTCATGGCCACCCGAGGTGCTTTTCAGTGGTTTTTGGTTTGAGAGTATTACTCTGAGTAATTTAGCAGGGTCACTGGAAAGCAGCTCTGGGATACGGATAAATACGGGCACCGGTCACGGGAAGAGTCTGTGTTATTTCGGTGTTCTCCTACACTTCAAGATTGTAGAGTTGAAGTGCTTCTGAAGATGCCAACAGGTCGCGTTGGGGAAACAACAAGCATTCAAACTAGCATATAATGGCCTAATAGCCCGAAAGTATTTGGTACTTCAAGTCATTACTTATTAGTTCCAACTTGTCGTTATTTGTAAATTATAAATTTCGTTGAGATTTTGCGAAGGTTTGCCAAATCGCGAGTACCTTCAACGTCACGGCTTGATTAGCGACAGGTAGTATAGCTGCGACACCTTTCATCCTATGTACTCCCAGAGAATCTTTCCACATTGGCGGCTGACTTTCTTTCTGGCCGCACGATATTCGTCGTAATTGACGGGTTCTCCTCTTCATTCCACAACGCCAAAACGGATGTTCCTCAGTACCCTGACGAACAACAGGCGTCCTAGGTGTCATCCGGTTTCCATGGATGACGGAGCTCAGTCAAAGAGCCGTTTGTTTTGGTAGGTCGAAGTCCAGAGACTGGATCTGGCTCGAACACAACACATCAATAGCGGCAGCTGCTGGAAAAAACCTGGGCTATTTGTCTAGGTCTGGGAAGTGCCTTTCTCGACATGACTTCTTCACTCTATACAGAGGCCAGGTAAGACCTAGCCACGAGTGTTGCTCACATATTTGGGATGCTGCTGCCTCGACTACATTATCCGTGCTCGATGCTGTTCAGAGCAGGGCTGTCCGACTAATCGATCACTCTTCTCTAACAGACTGTGTCAGGACCCTTTCGCACTGGCGGGCCATCTGACTCTCTTTTACTGCTACACCAATGGGCTTTGCTCGAGAGAGCTCTCCCCCATGATGCCGCCGCGGGATGTGTCTTTGTCCCTAGGGTTTTGATATTGTGAAACAATCTGCAAGATTAGGCTTTTCCAAGTTTGACTAACCTTAGGCAGTTCAAAAATCGGATTAACAAAGTTTCTTTAGAATCCTCAATAGCGGACGCGGTGCAATGGCATTTAGCGCTCTGCCTGCGCAGCTCCCTTGGTGTAAAGAGAAATAATATTATATTTTATTATAAAATATCGAAACTTGTTCACTAGATGTACAATTTGCTCATCCCAGCTGAAACGGTAATCTATACTTATATAGAATACACCAATAGGTATCATTATTTTGGAGGTCATCAAAAGTCAAATGTGGAAAATCAACAAGGGAAGTTGCTTCTATGCTCTTCCAAATTACCTTTTATCTAGTGCAACCATATTTTGTACATTAGTACCTTTCTCACTCAAAGCGAGCATTCAGCAATGACGTCATCACGGCATGTTTCCTAAGCATGATGTTATCGCGATGTTAAGGGGGGGGTAGGAAAACTAGTAGGGGAGGGGATAGACCGTTAAGGGCGAAATGGACCTAACTTTTGTAGTAGATACTGAAGGAACAATTTGAGGAGGGAAAACCGGCCTTAGTAACCCTACTTCCTTGTAAGTTGATCACATCTATGAAACACTATAGAACATATGTATTTATCAACATTTTCCTTTGTATTTTAGCACTCGATTATCCTTTGAACGCCCAATGTTCGTAATTTTAACGTTATTATCCAATATTCATAAATTTTTCATTTTTATATATATGTATGAGCGCATGGTCGAATACCTTATCTAAGATCAATCACTCAAAGAGACAAAACATATATACAATAAAAGTGTTACTCCACTGCACTCACATCAAAAACAAAGTTGAAGCCTCATTATAATTGTGAATTGATTTGTTTCAGCTTTTGTTTTTATTGTGTACGAAATGTAGTTCACACGTGTGTCTGTTAAAAGATGTAAATTTCTCCGACGTCACCTTCTATTCGATTTTGAAATTGTATACCAAATAACCTAGACCAGTCACACCATGTTATGCTTACTAAATATTTTCAGATAGCTGGAGTATGGTTAGAACCAAAGACCTCGAAAAACACCAGACGAACCCGATTCATCATTTGGGATGCCATATTACTCTCGCTAGCCATCACCTTCTTCATTTGCGAAGTACTTATGGTAAAACACATTATATCCGAATTAAAGAAACTCTTTAAGCATTTGGCTATGCTCGCAACGCATACTGTTGGAATGTTGAAGTTTCTCCTTATCATCACACATCAGAAGGAGTTGGCAAAGATTAGAGAAATATTGCAGGTTAGTATGACTCTCAGGCCTGCTGGATGGACTCGCCAGGCTTCTGCTTACCATTAAATATGGTACTGGATCGGTTCTGATCGAGTCGCAGAAGGAGTGGAATAAATAAATAAATAATTTTTATTTACATTGGATTACAATGTAGTATAGGAATATAGTCAAAAAATTGACACATAGTGTATAAAACAAACTAGATAACATTACACAATAAGTACAAGCTATAATAGTCAAAGCACACTGAAAAATCATGGTTGAAATACTCCTCTACTGACAAAAGGGTTTTGCGAAAATATCTTTGTTACAACTTTTATAAATGCTACCACCGTACGTATCAAATTTAACGAGCATGATGTTAGGCCCTTTTGAAGTGAGAGTAAGCCTATGTGCTGCAAGTTTCAAACTGAGGTTTGGACGCAAGTTGGGTCAGTAGCTCTCTAAACAAAATTATTAATATTTTTCTTCACATGAACAATAAAAGATATAGAGAAAAACTGATATTGTAATCTTTGAACGGTGTACGGAATGAATGTACCTTACCTTTGCCAAAATTCTATTTTCAATTAAGTTCCAATTAGCTCCGGTAAAGTTAAACCAGCATATGATGCAGTAATTGAATGAAGAGTGGACGTAGGTATACAGTACAACAAAACTTTGATATCTATATATAGTTTTTAAACGCCATATTTTATAAGTGAGTCGTTAAATTTAAATTGCTTAGACAATGGAAGAGTTTCGTCAATATAAACACCCAGGTATTAAAATTGCGGGCCTTGTTCAACACTACTGCCACGACACTTAAGAAGTCTGCAGTACTGTACAAAAGTAATTTAGGTTTATTGTTGTTCAAGATCAGACCATTAGCGTCATCTACAAGTGTTTATTCTAAGTGAAAGATTCTCCACATGTTACAAAAAAGCATATAGAGAAATAAAGGTATCCGGGCAGCTTACAGTTAAATCGTTAACAAAGAATATACACAATGTAGGACCCAAAATGCTTGCTTGAGGAACGCCATATACGATCTCCTTGGTTCGAGATATATGTTCACACTATTGTTCTTAATCATAACTTTCTGAGTTGTGTTGGACAAACATGAAGAAGTCAGTCTGTTTTCGGCCATTCCGATTCTTCAAATCTGGCTCGACCATTGCAATATCAAGACTTAAGACTATCGCGGTTACCGCAGTACAGATCGTCGCACTAACGTTCTCAATTTGAACTTCTCCACACGAGTAATGACATACAAAGTGATAAATGTGGCGTGGAGTCTGAAGTATTTACGATTTTTGAATCTATGTTGTTGTCATTATAATCTTAAACTTATTACAGAAGATGAAGCGAGTGGAAATAGTACTAAACAAAGTTAAAGGGTAAAGCAAATTCTAAGGCATTCAAGGCAGCAAACCCGTCTCCAACGCAAAGTGGCAAGGGAAATTGTACATTACTTCCCCGCCTGAATGTTACCCCAAAACTGAACGACAAAGTCCCAAAATGTTTCAAGGTCAAGTCTGAATCCATTGGTTGCTCCAAAAATGTATTAGTCCAACTCCTACACAATTTCCAATAGGAAACCAGAAATTGAAAAAAGTGATTAGGCGCAATCGGCATAGCACTTATGGAGTGGTATCAGTTAATATCTCTCCGCAGACCAGATGCACTAAAGATAGTAAATCGTTCTTCATTTGGAGTCTCCAAGGTCAAAAGCATTATCCGAATCATTACAGAAGAGAGCCTCTGAAATGGTTCGTTGACAATTATTCAGGTGGCCAAACCATCGAGCTTGAATTCAAGAATCGAGATCGTTGAAATCGGAATCGAAAGAAATCGGAGGAATTGTTAACAAATGGCGGGAATCGATTCCAAGACCGGAATCGATACCATGGAATCGAATACAAATGGCTCAAAAGCTTATTAATTCAAGGCTACTAAAATTTTATACTAAAATAAACCTTATAAAAGAGATAACTCAAAAAGATGTAAAAACATTTACACCCATAACCCATTTTAATTTTTTGAGAAGAAAGTGGTTTTTGCGTTTATAAACGTCCTGTAGAGAAGATGCAGAAATTAAAAAAGAAAAAACACGTGTAGCTGACAAAGTTGAGTGTCACGTAGCTATAGAAGTAGCATTCCATTCCCTATATATCAAATTTCTTCATTTGAAGAGGCCTCTCAGAAAATAGTAAAATATACAAGTACTCGTATGTATTTAAGAAATGCACGTTTTGCCACGTAGATATGAATTACCCTGTTTTTCAGCATGCGTAAACGTTAACAACGTTATGCTGACATATTAATTAACGACGTTAACGTTTACGTATGCGGTATTTGTATTTGCCAAAACTCATTATGAACGTACAACGTACCAACTCCTCTGCGCTCATACAGAAAAGAGGCAAAACTGGCTTCCACCAGGTCAGATGGGGGCATGAGGCTCAAAAGCAGAGTGTGTCTGAAAAGTTGACAATTGCGTGATGAGAAGATTGAAAATAATAGAACATTTAACACACTTAGGCCCCAGTTTTTCAGTCGCAGATTAACTACGACCTTGGTGTTAACTTATAGTTGTCGATGGCAGTTATCATTAACCAGAAGACCATCTATGAGTTAACTAGAAAGGTTGTGGTTAAATAACAATACCTGACATTTGTTGACATAGACTTCGGCGCTTATTCAAAAATTTACAAATTCATATCAATTTATTGAAAAATATTAATTTAAGATGAACCGTGTTCATGGATCACGAAGGGGCAAGAAGGTCAAAAATAATCCGTCATTGGCCAAATTTGACGACCTGGATTTCCGTGCAAGATTTCGTCTTACAAAAAGGACTGTAGAAACATCTTTTCTCTTTTTTTGAAACTGAGCCACTTTTTTTGCTCTTTATTATGCTTTTGTTTTTACTGACCATTGATACTAACATAATTTCCTCATCGCTTAAAAAATTTTGGGCTCTTCATGTATGACAGGTAAGACCGTATGAGGGTATGACACAAGCACATACGCCAAACGCACCAAAGTCTCAGAACACGATATCTAAGAACCACAGATACAGGGTTGCAACATAAATATACTAAGTGACATATAAATCCGAACACCCAGTTTAAATGGTTTTATTTTAATAAAATTTTGTATAAGTACTTAATGAAGCATAATAAGTAAATGATAAAAATTTCAAAATGATTGCACTGCTTTAAAGCCCTTTGACCTTTAATAATGTGTGGATGCACCCTGATGTGCTACGCATTCTCCAATGCGCCTAGGCATGCTTCTGATCAGGTGGTCAATGTCCTCCTGTGGTATCTCATTCCAGGCAACCACCAACTCCTCTCGAAGTGCTTCTAGAGTCTGAGGAGGACGTTGCAAATTGAGCAATCTCCTACCCATCATATCCCACACGTGCTCAATTGGGGATAAGTCGGGAGATCTTGGTGGCCATGGTAACAATGTGACATCATTATGTTGAAAGAAGTCTATTGTGACTCTTGCAACATGTGGTCGGGCATTATCTTGTTGGAAAGTTGGATCTGCCAGGGTGTCAAGATAGGGTAAAAGTTGGGGTTCTAGAACTTCGTGGATATAACGCTGCGCGTTCATGTTACCTCTGATGAAGATTAAAGGTGACCTGGAACCATAAGCTAAAGCACCCCAAACCATAATCCAACAGTGTGATGAACATGTCTTTCAACAAAAAACTGTGGATTCCTCCTTTCACCACGTCGCCTTCTAGCCCTGGCACGACCATCGTGCATGCCTAAACAAAATCGAGACTCGTCACTAAAGACAATACTGTTCCATTCCTGATCCCAGAGTGACCGTTGTCTGCACCTCTCAAGGCGATTACGTCGGTGTTCTCGAGTTAAAGGGAGGACCCAGTGCGTACGGCCTTCTCGAAGCCATGCCTGACAACACCTAACCACAGTGTCTACACTTCGTTGCACTCCAACTGCAATTGCTCGAAAAGAAAGTCCAGCTTCCCGAAGTCCCACTATACGGCCCCTATCAAACTCACTAAGTTGTCGAAATCGTACAGGTCTCCGTACTCTAGGCATCGTAACCGATCGTAAAGGTTGTCAAGAACCAAAATCCGCCAACGCTGATTCTTTACTGCGGCTGAAATATTCATTTTTAGAGCGTTAGTGAATTAAAAAAAAGCAGTATAAAAACCGGAATGTCCAACTGATAAGGTTGAAAATTTTTTCACATGTTATTTACAGTAAGATAAATACATTCACCAACTTTTATTAAAATAAAACCATTTAAACTGAGTGTTCGGATTTATATGTCACTTAGTATATAGAAACTATTATGCTATTCGAAAAACAAATGATGTTTCTACACTGTGGAGCAAGCTTTGAGTTACAATTTTTTATTTTGTGTGATTCATGCCTTATGTCAACTCGTTTTTTTTATCATAAATGTTTGACTTTCTTTTACTTTGTGAATTCTGCATCCTATCAAAGCTACAGGTAACTACAAGTTGACTTCCTGGTTATAGTTAACTAACTAGAAAGTTCACTTGACTGATAATTGAAAAACCGAGTCTTATTATGCAAAAGCATTTCTATTATATTTTTGGAAAAAACCTACAGACTATATTATATATTAGAGATCACTTTTCGGCAAATAAATTATATACAAAAAAGAATAAAAGATATAACATACCTTTGTAAGTTTGATACCTTTAAGAATGATGGAACCAATAGGCCATGGATCAGGGTTTGCCGTATAGCTACACGTCCATGAATTGAAGTAAGGCTGAGTAGGGTAGGCTCGTATACCTTAAGGGCCAAGTAAAGATTCAGAAAGGGAGGGCCCAAAAATGGTAACCTAAATTTAAGATAGTCAAAGGCTAAGTGCAATCCAAATAAGGTTGACCCAAGGGTAACGGTCACCCAAAAAAAGCTCTAATGAAGAAGGTCCAATAGTAGGGCTCAAAATAGGAGCGGCCCAAAGGCTTCAATAGGCCGCTATAATGAAAAAGAGTAGAACGGTACGTTAGAAATGTGTTTTATAACCTAAGCATCTCCAAGTCTCGCTCCATACAGGTTTCAGTAGTGATTATACAAATTAACCAAATCAGAGATTTATTATGAGCCAGCTAAAGCATGATATAAAATAATGGTTATTAAAAACCTCCAATGGGTCCTGTGAGTTTATTTAAAAAAACATGTCGAATTTCATCAGCCATTATTGATTAAAAGAAAATACGAATAAAAAATACATATATAGAGGTAAAATCACCCTGCTACATCATTCGTAGCATACTTTGAGTAAAATTATGCAGAGGATTACAATATTTGCAAATCACATCCGATATACAATATCTCAAAAAATATTCGAAAAAAATTATTAACGAAGCAGAACAAATATTTGCAGAATAAAAACAAGTGAAGCAATATGAGTATACATTGGATCGCTCTATTTTTGCTTAACTAGTCACACACATAAACACATGGTGCTCTAAGGTTTGTGTGGCCAGGATCAGGTCGTAACAGGACGCTGTCAAAGCCAATTATTTTAGAGATGGGCGGGATACCTAAACTTTATGGACGGTGTGGTATACCCATAAATTAATAATGGAGGTTCGACCGATTTCACATTAAAAGCTTATCTTGTATACACGTGTTCACCCGTTTTGTTCAAGATTTTTTCTTGTAGGATGAAAATCTAAGCTACGACTGTATGACAGACTGCGTCGATATACCAGAAACTGCAAGAAAATTCTCAAATATAATTTCTCTCACTACTTATTTTCTCTATTGTATGGTGGGAACATCAGCTCACATATCTGCTCTAAGAAACTTGAATGCAGCCGTCAAAGAAGATCAGTTTGGAGGCAATGTGACTTGTTACGATTTTCTGCCATACTTGTACGTCATTCCTTTTAAGAGTGACACTGCGAATGGTTGCAAAAATGCACTGATTACAATGGATCTTGGACTGTGTATCTTTGCTGGATATATCGCCTGTAAGATATATTTAAGTATTTATTAAACTTTCAGTAACATTTTGTAACTTTGACGACATTCAAACATATACAGTCAAATTGCTTGCTTGTGATATTTGGTTATTTTCTCCTTGTATCCAGCTCTATTAAAAATCTTAATAGTTCCAACGACAAAAAACGCGTAAGCTTATTTGTTTACCTTTCTTTAGATGATGCTCAGTGACTTTGTATATTTGCGACACGAAATTTTTCGACATGACATTTTCACGAAAGGACACTATAGTTACTTAATATTCCATCTAACGTTCTGCGAGTAAAATTGAGGTGCGAAAAGCTAGTATAGATACATCACTGTATTCTTAGTGCCTCTTATTTGGGTCATGTCCCAGAATCCATTCCTAGTTTCATCTACGTACGGTTTAACCTTAACGTATGTGCACATACCTCTAGGTGAGTTGGTCTTTGCTCAAATGGTGAGGTACCCAAACACAAAACTTGTAAATCTTTCGTAAAGTTCGCTAATTATTTTCTATTGTACAATAAGAAAGCCCGCTCTGCAACCAAATCACACAGGATCTTTTTCAATGCTTAATGTTTATTTATACTTGTTTCCACTGGACGCCAAAACATTTGTTTGTATATCTGGAAATATTCACCACTGCAAAATCGTTGGAACCTTCGCTTTGGTATTGCTTCGGAGACTGCGTCTTGAAATACCCTTTGGCATATGTTACGTGCAGCTTCTGCAGCAGAATGGCCATATTGCTGCTCATATTTTAATGAGTGTCGGACATATATTTTAATATCGCTCATTTTTTGCATTGTATTTACGCAATGAAGTATTACATGCGTCCATGATCGCATCTCGTACTTTATATACCCCGCAGTATAGAACGTCACGAGTCAAATCTGGTTTTCTAGAAAATAAAAGCTGTAGCGCTCATTACGTATTAACCAAGCCGGTGCTATCTAGATGGATGCAATCAACATGGTTTCACTTTTAGCTCACGACTCCATGTTGTACTCTGCCATAATCTGCTTAAGAACCAGGCTGGAAATCCTAACAAAGGCTACGAGAAGTATAAGAGGAAGAACTATTAATAAGCTGAATCTACCTAAAGATTTTGAACCAATCAGGATTGATAAGTTGCCAGAAGTAGAAGAAGAACTTCATACTGAACTTAAAAGGTGCAACGGTAACTTGGAGCTTCTGTTAAGGTAAGTTCGTGTGTTGATGTAAGTTCCAATCAACGAATAGAGATTTACCAGTAGAAGAATCACTACATCGAAAGAACAGATTCTGTCGCAATGGCTGAGATGATAGCTCTGGTGGCTACCTGATATTTGGATGCGATCACCCATTAATTACCTGAGGCAATAGTCCAGGAAGTATATTCTCATCTGTTCAGAAAAATATTTTGATTAGGTTTTTGCACAACTTTAATGAAAAATAAAAAAACAATTCAGGACCGACAACATGCAGTTTCATTGCCATGGGTCTTTTTGAATGAGATTATACGAAAAAACAATTAAAATATTTTTCTAAGTGGATGCAAAGATACGTGTACTATAACTACGCAGGTAGTCGATGGTGGCATCCGATCCCCTCGTTAATAGGTCGCGTGGCTTTTGGATGTGTACAGATCGATTCAATATGACAAGTTAGTGCGGCGTGCCTGAATGCAAAATAAAGAAGGCGAATTGTGTTTGGATATCTTGCTAATTATTTTAGACAAGTTTTGTTGTTCCAGTATATTTGGAATCCGTTTTTTAATACAGGAGCTCGGGTCGAGGTGTAACTGATGAAGGAGATCCATGATTCATGAGTGTTCCAGCGTCAAAAACGGGATATCAAAAATTTGTATGTGTAATTTTACTTCTAATTTCTAAAATAATCCATGATCAATTTGGAGGCCCTAAAGTGCCTTCCGATGAAATTTTTACTAAGAACTTGGTTGAGCTGGCCTTATACTATAGATAGAGGATAGTTGCTCAGCTTTCGTTCATTATCCTCCCTGAGACCAGGCCGACACCTAAGGAGCTGCCAAATAGCACGAAACAGCTATCCACGGTTGGTCCTCAGTGGTCGGACGGATGAAAGCTATAACTGTTACTAGTTTGATCCATAGATTTGTTTAGGAAAGATCCTAATGGTACACCTGCAGTCGCATTCATACCATATTGTTTGTAGTTTATCGAAGACCTATTTCATTTCTTTCGCGCCATTTTCTCTTCTTTATTTCAGTTTATCACCTAACGACAGATACGATAATTCAACAAACATTTCTATTTTACTTACCTCAGCGCCCTTACATCCATGTTCAAACTTGTGACCATACAGTATACTCCAAGTTTTGGCAAAAATGGCACAGTGGTTACTGAGGGTACTTAATGACTAAGAAGACAGATAAATCATAGCCAGTCAGTTACGAAGGGACTAAAAACTATTTTTCAGCTCGCAAAGTTTTTAGGCAAAGGATATTTTTCATCCATTGTCCATGCCATAAAAGCAATAATAACAGGAATCACCCGGTATGAATACAATTACTTGATGCGATTACAAACAATTTTGACAACCTATTCCGTACGCGCGTCATAGTACGACAGCACTACCCTGTATAAAACAATAAAAAATGCGAGGTCTTTTCAAGTGATTCATCTAAGAAAAGGATCCCAATTCTTAGAAAAATGTAAGTATCTCTAGAAGTCAGAAGATAAAGGCTTTTTTGCGAGAGCCCCTTTTTCTGGTAACTCTGTATTCTTTCCTTCCAATCTACCTTCGTGGTCAGTTGACATCACCAAATCGAGAAACGTAAACGTCCAGGAAATATTGTTCGCAAAAGATTCACGGTTTCCCTAGCTGTGTGACACGTTGCTCCGTCCTGCTGGAACCACATGCTTTGCAGGTTGAATTGTTGGATTTGAGGAGCCAGAATCTTTTGCACCATATCACGGTAGCGCTCGTCAGTGACAGTAAGAGAATTACCTGCAGCGTCTTCAAGGAAGTACGGTCCAATGACACCTCCATACCAAACACTGCACCAAACTGTCACTCGACGAGGATATACTGGTCGTTGATGGATGACACGAGGGTTTCTAATGCCCAGATACTACAGCTCTGTTTATTAAAAAATCCGTTCATATCCAAGTGGGCTTCATCGCTCATTGCCAGATGTTAAAAATCGTTATTTAGTTAAACTGCAATATTGCATGACAGTATTTTCGGCGACTTTCATGGCCACTAGGCTGTAGTTCTTGGGTTAACTGAATTTTGTATGGCCGCAAAAGTCTTTTTTTTAAATAGTGCATAATGACATGCGCCGAATGCGCAATTCCTGAGAACGATGTCTGGTAGACGTCCCAGGGGGCTCTACTACACTATCATGAACTCTCGATATTTTCCGGAGTACGTACAGTTCAAATGTCCGTACCAACTGACGCATGGTGGGCACATTATTCCGACCGAAATCTTGTCGTAACTTCCGAATCGTTGCAAAAATCGACTCATAATTCAAGTAAAACGTTTTAACAATGCGGACGCGTTGTGGGATCCTGTAGCGCTCCATGATGAAATGGTCACATGTGGTCAAATGCGTGTATCAAAAATGGCGCGCAACTTAAATCACTCAGATATATGTTGACCACCCTGTATAACCCATGGTATACAGCTGCTTGTTATAAGAGGGGGATCCTGGAGAGTTACATAATTTTTAATCTACATTGATGTACATAGCTCAAACCATTTTCAACTCTCAGTTTAAGTTTTCGTGTTAAATACTAGGTGACTTGAAAAGTTTCTGAACTTGTATACAGAAGGAGCTATTATGAGTGAGCACATGCTCAGTTCCAGGCTGACCTAAAAAATAAGTTTCTTTTTCTAATTTCGTGTTGAATTAGATGATAGAAAAATTTCGCAAGTATGTGCTGATTGAATAGTTGCATACTTAGATGGAGGGAGATGGAAGTCATACTGATATGGTAAATGTACCAGCCATGCAGTGGACGCCCAAAACTGCTACCAATGATTATTTGTTGATTCTATTCACGATTTAGTCTTAGATAGACTTTAGACTTATAAAATTGCTGAGGCTGTGGGCATCTCAAATGAACTTGTGTTTCATATTTTAAAAAATGAGTTATGGTCTAGAAAGCTACTGGCAAGGTAAGTGTCGCATTTGTTAACTTTGGATCAAGTCTCCCTCAACAACATCTGTATCAATTTGCAATGATTTTATGCATCGACATATAATGATGGACGAGAATAATATGGACCTGAAGTGCAGATTGTACTGAACCTGGTTGTTCTGCTCCGAAGAAAGCAAATATGTCGAAGTCACCTAAGCAGATTGTGACATTTTATGAGATGCGAAAGGGATGGTTTTGACAGCTCACCTGAATATAAGGAGGAGTATTGGGTCCACTTTCAATTAATATTTATTTAAATTTTCTACTCAAAATTAACTGCGTGGGTGAAGTGTTCGACTTTGCATTTGAAACTGCTATACTTTATAGAGGCAAGTATTGCAATGATTTGAAACATGTTTCAGTGGTTTAATCACGTATAGAAAATTAACTGTAACTCTTAGAAAACCCATGCTTTACCCTTTGCCTCATATTCTAATAATTTATCAAATACCCAGCTTTTTTTTCATAGATAACACAATTCTGAAAATTGATAGAGTGGATAACATTAAATATCTAAGATTTTTTTAGATTTTCATGATGGAATTTCCATGTAGACATTTTGAAAAGTTCCATTTGTAGCTAAAATGGCAATTACATTAACCCTGTACTTCCCACTCTAGTACAATTTTTCATGTAGTACGATGACATAAAAAGACGCAGGTTCCTTCAGAAGCATTAGTGCACTATTTGGGCATTTTATGAAAAAAAAATCTCAAATTGCCGAAATAACCTTGTCCGCACGTGGTATCTTCATTTCTTTGGAGCTCTGGTGTAAACCTGTCCATCAGGTCCGCTACAAAAGATGCTATATTCACAACGCCATGGTGCACAGCCAGTGCGGCCGATAGGTACGCGATCCGTCGGCTGAATTTTTTTAAATCTATGGGGTATGTCTAAGCGGTGCATAGAATTGTTGGATCTAAAAGTACGTTAATATACTAAAATCAAAAAATTGCAATACAACCCTACATCTGTCACTTTTTTTACAAAAAATTTGTTTTCCAAAAATGATCAGGACCTCTGAAACGTAAAAAAAATGATTGAGTGATTTTTTCTCGTTTTCAGCATTCTTATCGCCTCTAAGCTGATTTCGTCCTTGGCATAGTGGTAACCTTGTGTAAAAATTTCATCCAAATTAAAGCAGTACTTTCCAAGTTACAGGTGGGCCAAGTATTAGCAAACAGACAGTCCGACAGGCCAAGAAACATAATATCTCAATTTCGAAATGTCAGTTGGCGTGGGAAGTAAAAATGTTTATAAAAATAGATTTGCTCATTGGGAAGAGATAATATTTACAAAATTATGACAAGCGTATATTGAAAGTAATCATTTTACTACCTCACTACCAACTTGATTTCTATTCCAAATAGTATTACTGAAATGCAGTTACAGCACACAGGTGATCCATGAACCGCCATAGACTGCTATGGATTACCATATTTATTTACTCCTTCCATATCTATTGTATTACCGGAGTAAATATCACTATTATACTATTAAAACTATAAGAGCTTAGTATTATTGTATCATTTTCGATAAGCTCCCTGTAGAAATTCGGGAGAAAATACACCTGCTGATGAGCGGTTCGGCAATGGCAAAATCAGTCAAATACGTTTCCAGTTGGTTGAAAATCTACCCTATTCAGCACATGTGTCGGCTTATAATTTTGAAGAGCTGTCAGAGAATCATCTCAGGGAATGTATAAATCAAATACAAAATCGCTTAATAAATCAAGTCCAGAAACTTTCCAAATCACTTGGTGTTTCTTCTCGGAGTATGACACTATTAATCCTACAAAATTACACTTGATAGCAAGAAAACATACTTTCTGTTTAACTCTAAATATTTTCAACACGACAAAAGGTAAAACTCAAATGATCGTTGTTATGAAAAATCTACAATCAAGTGTCACGGGCGTCATAGACTGTAAATAAATAAGTTTTGAAGAGCAAGTACTCATTTTCTGACTAATTAAATACCTGATTTATTTTTTAGTGCTTGTAGATGTATAGAAGAAGTATTTTCATACACCATTCTAGCTCAAACTATAATGTCGCTACTGGTCATAGCCTCTTGCATGTTTGCTGCATCTTTGATGACATACACAGACCCAGAGCTGTACTCTTTGGTCGAGTACGCTATAGCTGCCGTATTCCAATTGCTGATGGTGTGTCACTTTGGAAATAGCATCACTGAAGCGGTAAGGTTATAGATTAGGTAGATGTGACTTCTGGAACTTGTGATTATTTATTATCCATAGCGCTATGTAAAATAATCGCTATGATATCTATTCGGTCACCGTACTTTGCATTAGGTACTAGCTAGCCAGAGGTTCACAAACTTATTTCGTCTACTGGCCACCATGAGAATCAATTCTTTTCTAGTGCCCCAGAAATTTCTGAAGACGTCTGTCTTGGTGGGCGGTACCTAAAATTGAAAAAGAACGGGGGTAGGGTCGTCTGCATCAGTGCCTCTGAGAGCGAATGTCTTTGTGACAATTGAAGAGCAGGAGAGAAATATTGTCCAATGCGTCGCCCCCTAAATTAATTCATCGCCCTCTAATTTCCTTTTTGCTATTGACGACCCCCGCAGCGATAGTCACAGCATTTATGCTGTGGGGGTAAGAGAGGAGGGGTTATTGGCGATTAAAAAATGAAGAACGGGGAAGTGATCGCGGCAGCATGCTTAAGCACTTAAGCGTCGCTTCTGAGAGTTAACGCTCATGTGACAATTTGAAAGCGGAAGATGGAATACATTTTCTTGAAAAAAAAAAGAACAGCCTTGGGCATCTAGGTGGGCACACCTCCCTCGCCTCCCTCTAAATCTACACTTGACATCTACTCGATGTCAAGCCCCTTATAGAGGAGAGGATATAGTATAAAACTAAAAGTTCAGGCCATAGAACATATAAATGACCTTAGCTAGTGTCATATTTGAGGCACATACTTCCTCAGAGTTAAACAGCATATTTTGGATATTTAGGCGACATACACAGCTACTACAAATATTTAATAGCTCAGATTGCGCCTGACGTTCGTCATCGCTATCATTTTGTATTTACGTATTAAAGATGCTAGGTAGCTAACCACATGTATGTGATCACTAGAGAGCGGATTATATGCAATATAAAAAGTTTGAAATATGCATGAAAAATGGTTAAAATATGCATGAAAGTATCAAAATAAAAAAAAATAACACAATATAACAATGATTTTTATATTTTTCATTTTAAAATCGGCTTACAAATAATTAATAACTAAGCACTTGAATGACTTATCTATGAGATATGTAAGTGACGAGTATTTAACGTGTCAGTTTTGTACACACAAACAATAAGGTATTGTTCCAAATGTTCTGCTGTAAGACCGTGCCTTCGATCACTCAAAATATTATTATAGGTCAAAAAAGACCGCTCCACATCCACGGAAGTAACTGGACAGTATTTGAATCTGGGTGCTATGCTAGCTTTTATTCTTTCTGGCAAAACTTCACCAGTCACATCTCAATTTAACATATATGTTACATTCAAAGCCTGGAACATTGTCCATTTGCTGGATTTTTTCCATTAATTGAATAGACTCAGTCAACTCCAAACCCTGAGATTCAAACTTTTTGATACTGGCAGGTAAATAAGAGAAATGAGTGATAATCATGGTTATGTTCTTTTTGATACTAGAGTGGTTGAATGCTTGCTTGCACTCACAAATTGCCATAGCATCTGCACTACCAAACGCTTTAGTTGTCCTAGCAAGTTAGCTACCTCTTCAGACCATATCCATATCTGTAGTAATCCTTGAAGGTATATATTATTTCAGATTCAGAAGATGTGAATATCGTAACGATTTGAGAACAAGATAAATTACTCTGATATTTCTTCCAAAATAAATTACGAAAATAAATAAAATATGATTGCATTGAGTAATAAAGTTGTTTTATTCAAGGGAGAAACATATAGATATTGTCTATACGAAATTGACTGGTATAGTAACAGCAAGAGATTCAAACAATGTTTATTGATCATGATGTACAGAATGGACAAACCTCTATACCTGACTATAGGAAAATTCTCACCATTGACGTTGCACACATTCGTAGCGGTAAGTAGATCTTTAGCTTCAATATGGCGTAACAAAAATCATTGATTCGCATTCTATTTATATATTTCAATAACCTCATGACTTCAACCTCGCCTGCAGATGCCAACTAGCAAAACAAGATGCCAACTATCAAACCAAATTTTTTTTTTCATTTAACAGATAATACCGCATCAACCTCGTAAGGTTATTAGCGGCGTGGACGGCACAATAATCTATGTATGGAAGTACATGTCAATGTCTTTGATAAATTTCACAAGTTTATCGGTTTGATGCACTAACACTTCACTGATGTCATTAGAAAGGTGGTTGAGACTTTTGGCATTTTGATAAGTAGGGCACTCCATCAGGATGTGAACCACCGTGAGCCGCTGGTTGCACGTTGAACAAACTGGGGCATAGGTTCCTTCGAAGACGTGCTTGTGAGTCACTACTGTGTGGCCTATCCGGAGACGTGACATAATTATCTGGTTCCTTCTTCCTGAAGGTAGGGTGAATCGCGTGTTGACATCTGGAGCAATTGCGAGTGGTTTGCTGTGACTGCCATTCCATTTCTGTTGCCAAAGACTGGTTATGTGCACTTTTATTAGTCCTTTCAAATCTTGGTAGGGTGTACGAATCACACTTCTGCTTGAAGGGGCTGCCGCTCTTGATGAAACCAATTTTTTGTTAGTATAATATTTGAAATATTTAACTGCTGATAAACAATTGTTTTGTTACAGGTTATGAAAGGATCATTTTCATATGCAACAGTATTCAAGACAGTGGACTGAAATTTTTGTACCACATCGATGTTGTTTTATCTAATATAAAATATATAATTAAAAAATAGCTCTTTTTGTTGTATTCTCAGACTTACTGTAAACTTATGTTGAACCCCATTTTTTTACTGCAAGATATTGGTGCTCAAATTATATTAAATAAAATGTACTTGGTTTGATAGTGGTGCTTGACAGCATTGATTTGGATAGCGGTGCGTTTGGTTTTCCTACCAAAGGGATTATTCACCTACCCTCTACCGCACACATACATACATTCGTACCTACATACAATATGTACATGTACAACCGAGTAAGTACAAACCTACTGTTGTTTGTACTCCTGCATCTTGATTAGCTTCATGCGTCTCACTACCAGCTGAATATCAACTGATCTGCACATGAGTGGCAAAATTGTCAGCAGTGAGCGTTTCGCCGAGCATCAGTTCCAGTTATCTCTGGTAGTCAATCCAATTACTAAATTCGAGTAGATATTTAAGGTGTATCCTCACCTCTTTTGCAATATATGCAGTTCGCGTACTTTTTCCTACCCTCTCTAGGAAGCAGTCAAAACAATCGTGTCCTATTAGGAACTGTTAAGTATAGTAGTATATCCGCATTGCTCCCTTATCAATCCAAATTTTGATATTTGGGATCAGCCTTCTACTCATTGCACCATGGCCAGTTGTATCCTATCTCTCCTGCCACCTAACAGAAACCGCAAGACTTTCTCCACTTCTAGCTTCGATGCCGTTCTCTCTCAGCCAAATTAATTGGCAGGGTGCCATATTTCTTTTTCCTCAAGGCATTCTTATAGAGAGCACCATATAGCACAACCGAGTTAGCCACCAAAATCCTACGCCTCTCATTACTAGCGGAGCGGTTAGCGTTTCGAGCTACTAATCAGTCAACCTTTGGCTCGCGGATTCTAATCTCCGCCTCGGAAGTGAATCCCGAGCCGTGGCTGTTGTCTGTTGTCTATATCATGCACCAGATCAGTGCAAGTTAAACATAGTTATGTACGTACCATCGGTAGCGCTGGTTTGTTCAATAGTCAGATAGCTTGTGGAGTGGAACCGGTCGATACGACCGCTCCTTTGTCCCGAGGGTGTCGAGATTGCGGAACAATTTACAAGAGGAAGCTTTTCCCAGTTCTATTAACCTTAGGCAGTTCAAAAATCGTATTAATAAAATTTCTTTGGGATCATCATAGCAGCCGCGGTGTTCCGGCATTTAGGCTTCTGCCTGCGCGGCTGCTTCGATATAAAAAAAGTGGTATAGTGTTGGTACTATGGGGTCGGCAAAAAGCGTGAAAGGTGGCCTAGTTGCCAGACTCCGTCTCCCAATCACTACTACTAATTCTGTGGAAGAGATTTTTTCGGATACTCCTTGTACCTCCTGTTTCTACCAGCTTTGACGTACAAAGTGAAAGTTACATATATTAAACAAACTGAAAAGGGACCGTTTGATCATTGTAGTCATTGCAGATAGACAAGTACGTCAAAGCTGGTGACAAGCTGAGCTCGTATTGCTCCTCTGAGTAACGAGGCACTTATGTAGTAAGCGACACTTGTCGGTATTATCGAAGAGGGTTGCCAAGAATCGTACGTAGTTTCCAGCTACCGACGTTGGCACGGTAGTGCCGCTTTTGGCACTCTACCCATAGGCAGCAGTGTCACCTTTTTGCACCTTATGATATTGACAGTTGATCATGCATGGCCGCGTATTTGCTTTCCGTTGTCAGTCTCTAATGACTAAATCTTTACCGTACTGATGTTTACTAAAAACTATAAAACGCCATTCTATACGGTTGGTTAGAGTCAAATAGGTGCTTAGCATCCTGTTCAGCAGAGCTTACAAAGTATATCTACACGTTACACAAGTTTGTAGATTAGTCTGTTCTCTTATTACCGTAATAAAATATGTTGAAACGCATAAACGCGTTTATTGCTCTGACATGGAACAAAATGAAACAGTAATCTCAGCATTTGCGCGAAGCAGTGAAAGCATGAAAATATTATCATTTTCACGATGAGGCGTTGTAGGATAATTAATAATGCACGTTTGTTGTTATTCTTGTATTTCTTTTCTGGGTCGACCCCCTAACCTCCACTTCACCAAAGCACATCTCGTTGGATGGACTGCACCGAGCCAGGATTTCCATATCTCTCTCTATGGTGCCGCCACGGTTTAAGCCTACCAGATAGACCCTCCATGTTTCTGTTTCTCAATACTTTTTTTATACTCCCACTACCACGAATGCCTAAGGCCTAAACACCCATGGAGTACAGTGGTGATAAAGGGGTATACAGGGGAAAGGGGCGACGCCACATGGAGACTTTGGCGAGGAAACACGTGTGCATGCAGCATGCAAACATTCTGGCCCCGCCTACGAGATCCACCTCTACTCACTATAACGTTCAACTTTCTATATATATATATATATACCGACGCAGCCGCGCAGGCAGAAGCCTAAATGCTGGAACGCCGCGGCTGCTAAGATGATCCCAAAGAAATTTTGTTAATACGATTTTTGAAATGCCTAAGGTTAATAGAACTTCCTATTGTAGATTGTTCCACAACATCCTCGGGACAAAGGAGCCGTCGTATCTGCCAGTTCTGGTTGTACGAAGTTTGACACGGTTAGGATGGGACGCCAAAGTCAGGCGGGTCTGTCTGGCATGCACATCGACCGATCCCTGGGGAACTCCCGCGTTGAAGTTGTGGGATGAAGGGGAGGTAGGATGGAAGTTTGCTTAAGAGGGCAACGTGCCACAGCTGATCGAACGCTTTCGTGATGTCAAGAGAAACTACATGAGACTCACCATAAGACTGGATGAGTTTACCCCACAATTACGTGACGTAAGCTGGAAGGTCCCCTGTGGATCGTTGGTGCCGGAAAGCATACTGCCTGTCGCTAATCAAGCTGTGGCGTTCGAGATAGTCTCACCTTACTTATAACAGAAAGCAGAGCGATATGCCTGTAGTTGTAAGGGTCGGTCTTAGATCCTTTTTTATTGGGATGGGCTGGACATGAGCAATTTTTCAGTTTTCTGGAAAGGTGCCGGATTCATAAGAGACGCGAAATAACTGGAGCAAGCTCCGCTGCACACCTCTTCAGTACAATGGCAGGAATCAAGCCCGGACCAGAAGCTTCCTTGATGTCGAACGACAAGAGCACTCGTCTTCGGTCTTGTGCCTGAATGTTACCTTCCGCAAAGAGTAGGGAACCCTTTGAATTGAAGGCACTTGGGTGTTGGGAGCGACGTCCATGGTGGAGTTGACAGCAATGGTCTTAGCAAGCACTTCCGCCTTGACCTTTGAGTCGGATACAATCATTCCATCTTGACACGTAAGTGGTGGAAGGCTACTTTGTGAGAAGTTCTTTTCAATCTGCTTGGCCAGCGTCCAGAAAGACCGACTGCCATTGCGACGTTACCCTGTGTCTAACTTTTATATCATGCTGGTTTTTGACATTGCGAACCGCTTCGTTATATTTGTTTCTGGAATCGACGTCGGCTTGTCTGTTCTCTACAGTGGGGTTTTGTAAGAAGGTTCTGTTTGCCTTGATCTTCTGCTGGCAAGTGTCTCACGCGATGTGTCAAACCAGCAGAAGAACTCTGGTTTAGGCATTGTCACTGTGGGAGGGATGTATTCCTCCATTCCGACGTGGATAATTTCGGTTATCGAAGAGCAGACAGCGACGTATCCGCGTCAGTGAAGCAGACGTCTCTCCAAGGAAAGGTAGAGAAGAAGTCTCTGAGCCCCTCCCAGTCGCCATGTCTGTAATACCAAGTTTTGCGGCCTGTACGAGTTTCTGCTGCCACAGCGGGTTTTGACCGAAACCTAACCTCCACAACACCGTGGTCTGAGTTACCCAGGGAGGACAGGACAGCAGTGCTGTAAGGAACAAGATGCGTGGTCAGAAAGAGATCCATCAGGCTACTGGAATGTGAAGAGACGCGGTGAAAAAGTAGGGCTCGTCACCAGCTGGGTCAGCCCTTGAGTAAGAGCGCACGCTTCGACTGCACGACCTGCAGCATCGGTCTTGTTTGAGCCCAACCAAAGCTCAATATGGGCGTTGAAATCTCCGAGAAGAACTACCTCTGAAGCGGGGTGATTGATATTCAGGAAGTCGATCTTGGTGATGAACAGCATCAATGTTGCTGTTAATACCGCAGATGTTCGTGAAACAAATTTTATCTTCGAGGGTGGAGTACGTTTGCGTCCAGAATTCTTAGTGCTTGAGGGATCCATCATCATTAATTTTTTTGGAAGATAACCGACTGCATAGCTTAGGAGTGGAAACATGCGGACATTTATAAAACACCCTGGGGCAAGCTAGCGGGTGGTACCGCCTCGGTCGACTGGTCCTTGTCTACCACCTTCTTTATGCGTGTAAACGATATTAAATAGACCTAAAGTGGAAAATTGGCGGACTTGTACCGCTACCCAGCAATCGGTACTGAGGTATTCCTTAACGCGTATACAATCACTTGAACGGAAAGAAGTTGTATACTGGATACAACAACTTCCGGAACAAGCATTTGCCACGGCCCCTCCCAGTAGGGAACAGACCTGTGACCAGTCTGCCAAAATCAAGGGTACGGGTCTTGTAAAGCAAAGTTTGAGTTTTAATTTGGAAACTTGACAACCTCGGAAATGTTAATTTTTAACCTCGTTTTCTTTTCATGCATTATGTCGCTAATAACTCGAAAACGGTATACTTTAGAAAAAATGAGCTCTTCTTGTTTGATTGGCCCGAAAAACCTAACAAGAACTTTATTCGTAACGCGAAGTACAAATTTCTGTGTTTTCTGCACATTTCAGTATACGGTACCAATTATGGAATTAGTTATTCAATAAGACCCAATACTAATATCATTGCCTAAAAGGGGTGTGTCTCCCAATTCGACTATCCTATCAGCGAGAAGCTAAGAAACTCTTCACAATATATTTTTCAGCTTTCTATAGCTCTCAAGGCATGGCTCTTTCAAATGATCGACAATTTTCAACAAATTACACAAAAATATTTTTTCCGGAGGGAGGGCGAGTTTTTTTTTATGTTTATTGGTAGGGGTATTGCGTAACTTGAAAAGTGACATTATGTTGTTTTTTTTTCGACAATTTGTAGGTTTTTTATCACCTTATGCAGGTTTTTCTACAAGATGTCAACTTGGAACT